CCACCGCACCGGCTCCATGTCAGCCCGCTGCCGGAAAATACCTCTATTTCTGAACAGATACGACTTAAGCGCCTACCATTCATTTAATTCTCGGCAAAAAGTCAAAGGTCAAAAATCATTTATTCATAAAGGTAACACAATGTACACTTATGAATGTCAAAAAAGAAATAAACATCAAATGCGTCTAATTTTACATTTACTGCCAGTTCTCAAATCAAGGGCGTAGATCGGAAACATCGTATATAATACTATATGCATAGGGATGCATAGGGGTGCAATGGTAAGTTAGGTAAGTTTCTAAAACATTTTTTAAAATTACGCATACACAATTTTTGGGGCAATGATATTTTTTTTCTATAGAACAGGGGACAAACGGGCAGGAGGCTCACCTGATGTGAAGTGATACCGCAGCCTATGGACACTTTCAATGCCAGAGGGATCGCCAGTGCGTTGCCAGCGTTTTATAATTGGTTGGTTGGTCAATTGTGGAACGACGGACGTCGAGGTGACGGGTGGAATTTCGTATTCTGCCAATAATAATAGCCACTGTATCTAGAATCTAAAGGGTCTCCTTTAAGTTGTTACTTACCCCGGAACCAGTCTGAGATAACATAACTAAACGATAAGATGCTAGATTTATATTCATTTAAACTTCACTTTTCTTATTATATAAAGTTGCGGGATTTTTTTTAGGTAGGCCTAAGTTTGTTTACTAATCATGAACGATGGTCAAATGACAAGAGATATACCGGATTCAGTTATACGAGTAATTCTTAGGAAGTATCTTTATATGGACAACGCTAAGAATTGAATAAGAAATAAAAATAAATACAGGTTTACAATATGACTCATGCTGACACTGTACATTATCACTTAACCTAATGGGCCTTCTGTGATAGCTGACGTCGCGTATGCAACTCTCAAACATCTCTGACCTAGATTCACCTGACATATTTTCCAGGAAAAACTTTTATGTAATGCTGAATTCAATTACGTAGTTATTTAATTACACATGTCAATATTATAACTTTTAAAGAGACAAGACAAACATTATAATAACATTTGCGTTTAAAGGTATGTAACCAGCCGACCAATTCCTACTATAAGTAGGTAAAATGAATTTTACATTCTATAAACGACGTCCGCCGTTCCAGAACTAAGCGTTTTTCAAGGCAGTTTTTACCACCAATATGTGAAACCGAAGTGAAGTGAAGTATTTCCGAACCAATTCAACCAACAAATACCAATTTTAAAAGGCCGGCAACGCACTCGCGAGCCCTCTGGCATTGAGTGTCCATGGGCGGTATCACTTAACAGCAGGTGAGCCTCATGTCCGTTTGCTCCCTGTTCTATAAAAAAAATCGTTAAAGTGTTTTATAATCGGATTTTTTTGTCATAATACTAAGTGATTTGATTTGCTGACTGATTTTAATATGGAACTTATTTGGCTCTGGTAAAAAGCGACCCCAGGAGTATTCGCGGTAGGGCGGAATGAATCCGAGGTGTATTATATTGCTCACCCGGCTCTGTGAGTAGCAGAGAGGGTGCCTTGTATGAGTCGAGTCCCACTCGTCTTTGCGAAAATAGCATTTTCTTCTTGGTTCTTATTCACACTAAATTAGCAAAACATTATAGATCAAAGTATAATTAGCGTTTATCTATATAAATCGGGATATAGTCAAATATAAGTACTAAGTAAAATAATGATACCTTACATTTAAAGGCGCTTATATAATTTGATGGTTTAAAAAATAACAACGGCGCTACAACCCTTGTTTTTTGGCTTTAGTTTATGACTGCAGAGATCTGTTTCGTGATAATGTTCTAATTGGCACGTAGATGGTCTACTGCATTCACGATATTTTCCTTCAGCGTATGACGCGAGCGCTAAATCAATGGATATTTTGGTCTTTGTGCGAAACAATGAAAAAAAAAGTCATTAGTGCAGCCCGGATTCCAACCAATGATATGGATGATAGTCGCAGGCTCAAGCCAGTAGGCCAACATTGCTCATCTAATAACATATACCGGCAAACGGTTAAAATAATTAGGTACATGCGAGAATTTCATTAGGTAAGGAAAATCCTGACTAGCGATAATGTATGAGTTAATTTATAAATTCACCCCACCCAGCCTTTGTCAAACGCCTCCTGACTTTGTCAACATAATTTAAATGTTTTTTTTTTATCGATAAGCCGAATGCAGCTTTGGCTTAAAAATTAAATTTAAATAACATCGGAATGACGAACGATGCTACTTCGATTATTTGAAATTGATCGCGATGTCAAGTGTGTGGTTGTGTCACAAACATTTGAAACAATTTTAAGTAAAGGACAATAGATAACTGAGATAAATAATAAGAGAACATTTATTCTTCATGAGCTTTCAGAAGATAGGTCATACATTTTACTAACTTTGACCCTAATGTGGCGAGTTTCAGCTAGGCATTTCATGGAATACGCGGTTACATCCAATTGGCCGGATTAGTGAATAAGTATCGGAAATATCGAAATACTGCCAGCATTAAAAGTACTACAGGGAGCAAACTGTTTAAATTAATTAAGTCGTTATTTACTTGAAACTAAGGTTAAAATTGTATTGTGAGTAAATAATATTTTATCACAAGTAAAACTCACAGAAAAGTAACTTCAAAAGAAACACAAATGAATAAATACAGAGTGGAATAGATTTTCATATATATTTGCACTCCATTTATTACTTAACAGATTCCCATAATAAACCTCCAGGCTTTTAAACACCGCAGTAAGTAGTATAAAATTGAATTTCTTTTTTCCGTTTAAAGGCGAATTCTTTTGAGCGTTGCTCGCGCTTTTCAACTTTCCCGAGGCGTAATGGAGTGACCAAACAACCTAATTTGAGCTGACCCATTTCATGCTATCCACTGTGTAAACGGAAATTCTATTAGAATCGATTCTATAGTATATTTTAACGATCACATTAGGGCTATTAGAAACTATCATTGTTATTTAGCATGTCGTCTAAGCGTCTACGAGAAATGGAAACGCTTTTCTCTTTATTGTTTTCGAAAAATAACTACAGTCAAAATCTGTTAAAACGACATCGTAGGGACTACACATATTTGGTCGTAAAAACCGATAGTCGTAACAGCCGATGATGTTGTTATTAAGTACCGAATACAGAATTCAGCCAAGACCTTTGATTTTGGTCAATATAACCGGTATGTTGTTCTAAACGATGTCGTCGTAAACGGTTTTGACTGTATATGTTTTCTGTTATGTTGCTGGGATCACGGCTTAATTGTTGTATTAAGTACAACATCGGAGGTTTGTTGTTTTTGTTTGAAGGCTTTCCTTTTGTTATTAAATTTAACTAAGCAAACTAACGCATTTCATCCACACTTCATGGGTGAATATAAAAGTGGTTTACAAAATATAAAACAAAGTAATTAGTGTACTAGAGTAGAACTGGCGATCTTATTGCAAATAAGCTCTCTTCTAGACCACCCATTTAGTAAAAATAAATTATGAGGAAGTTTAATAATGCGAAACTTAAAATATAAAACATGATCGAAAGAAATAATTTGTCTTGATATGGTACCCTAAACCTAGAAGCCATCTAAAAAAAATTAGTGGCGATACAATCTTTTTAGCTCTGGGCCTCAGATATATGAATCTGCTTCATGATCATTTGTCAATCTTATAGGCAAGTAGGTGACCAGGCTTTTATGTCTGACACACGCCGTCGTTTCCTCACGATTTTTTCTTTCACCGTTCGAGCGAATGTAAAATGTTTAAAAATAATCTTATCATTATTTCTGGAAGTTAATATAATTGCTTATATCGATTGCTTCAAATAGGCCAGGCGATACAGTTTAATATTTACTATTAAAAAAAATGTTTTACCTATTAACCTCTATTACAAAAAAAATATCTACAAATCATCTTTACCCATGAAGATTATTTTATCAAGTTAAATAAACATTCTCGCGCCGAAGCCCTAACGAAATTAAAAATAAATAACATTGAAGGGTGTAAGGGTGAACGGAATTGAATTAAAAAATAATATTCTGGACTAGATCTCAGTTATTGAACGTTAATTTAATAGCTTAAGGCTTAAAGACTATCTTTAATTTGTTCGGAAATTTTTAATTTTTTTTATTGAAATCGGTTTTTAAGCGAGAAAGCGTTGCACACAGAAAGATTTACTTTCTCATTTCAAAAATTATGTTAGTTTTTATGTATAAATATTAATCCAAGAAATGAGCGTAGCAATTCTTAAAAGACCGGCAACGCAATCGCGAACCCTTTAACATTAAGAGTGTCCATGGCGATATCACTTAACATCATGTGAGCCTCCAGTTTGCCCCCTGTTCTATATATATATATATATATATATATATATATATATATATAAAATAATATTATTAAAGTATTGCAGAAATACGTTAACATGACGTTCATATTTGTTCCCTGAGTATCTAGGTTTAATTCTTGATCAAATAATAATTAATTTAAGATAGTCACAGTAGGTTACATACCTGCTTTAATAAATTTAAAAAAAAAACATGTTTACTTTAAAACACGAGATAGAAGTTATACTTCTTTGGCGTATAACTTCAAAAAAATTAAAATGTTGACTATACGTAACTTCAGGGTGTCGGTTTTTTGTGACGGTGTGACGGTTTCCCTAACGCGTTAAAAGAAGTATAACTTCAATAAATTTCGTTAAGTTCTGTTTCATAAAGAATCCTAAGATTAACCTAAGTTAATCTATACAGTTTAATTGTTACAAATAAATTCTTATGTACTCTTAATTAACAAGTTCACATATCGTAAATAATAATACATTATAAAGCTTTTCAAATTAACTTTTAAATCACCCTTACAAAACGATGTATGCTCCATGGGGGTAAACGCATTTCTTATCTGTAATTACTAGACTTGCCACATCACCTGCAAAACTGTAAACTTGGATAAACACGCGTACATCGCTAAGCACTAACGACCCAGATAACAGCCATGTCATGCGAAGAGAGCAATGTACCGCTTGTATATTATGGTAACAATTTGTAGGCAATATACGTAGCTGACACAGGTAGGAAATATATTCCTTGCTAGATATGGTTGAAAGTTATGACACCGTAAATTGTAACGATTTTGTATGGCATGGGCGGAATGAAGGCTTTCGTTAGATCAATCTGGTTTATTTTGCTTGGTTAGATTTATACACTTGTATTTGGTTTTTATAAATTGTTTGTAATGTGAGTCTAAATAGTTTTAATTATTAATTGACTATTAATTTTCAACGAAGAGCATTGGCGTTTCGTAGATTTTTTAATGGTACTTTTCTCTTTTGATTAATAAGTACATTGTTAGTTTCTGATAAATATATAATAAACTTAGTTAAATGACAAAATAACCTTAAACTCAGAAGACAATAAACTGAAATACATTAGGTACATGATTTAAATCCAAACGGCATGCTCCTAACATTTGAAAAGGCGTTTAAAACTTTGCATATTCAGATATGTCACACAGTCCAGAAAATGTCACACATTTCTGAAATGTCTGCAAACGTGATATTTCAACACTGTCTAGACAATTTAGAATAACATTTCAGTTCTAACAAGTCGACAATTCTGAACCGCTAAGCACCTGACACTATGATGCTCGAAAGTTAAGACGCTGACACAATCGTAACAGTAGGAAAATTGGAATGGGACGGACGGGCCGGACATGTCCACGTTAATAGGGCCCCAGACGAGACCTTTGGGACCGAGTTCGATAATTGGCACAGGACGTTTTGTGAGTAAATTCAAGAGTTTGGTATAGCCTTAAAATGTAAGGCTGTTCTGGTTCAATGAAGTTTCGTATGTTTTCGTAATCAATGTAATTTAATATTAATTTGAATTTTTCGCCAAGACACCCCGTTGCCCTTCTATTATCACTTAAGTTTTATAAAACGGAATTATCTAAGACTTTTGGTTTCTCAACCATTTTTATGTTGCGACCCGCGAAAAAGCCAAAATGTTAAGAAAACACCACATGTGTTGCGAGCCCCAAGGGTCGCGACCTAAGAGAAATGATGATCTAAGTTATACTTAATCGTGAATAATTATATCTATACATAACTAATTATTTATTTAAAGCACAAGTGTAGGCACAAATTTTGATGTCTTATTTATTAACGACTGTTATTAGGAACTCGGGACTGAGGTAGTGAATTCAAAGTCCGAATGTTATATCTGGTATGGCGCGTGCGGGGAAGCACTAACAGCATGCTGGCGGTAATAGCAGGAAGGCTGGATTGCCCATACATGGGTCATTGCAATGGACTGACTGTGCCCTTTTTAATTTTATAATTGAATTTACTTTAACCTACTAATATAATATTTAGAACAATATTGTAACTTAGTCAATACCATATGGACGACTATTTTCCGATTGAATAAATAAACTAATATTATTATTAATAGAGTTATGTTTGAAATTTATACTCGTATATCAATAAAACTATGACAAATTAAGTGAAATTACTTAACTAAATTATACTATTTCATCGGCTCAATATGAGGTGCGCGACAAATAATCTATATTATGGAATTATTACTAATTGAGAATTTGATCGGTCCTATGTGAGGTATCCGATCAAAGCTATTAGTATCTGTTGTCCATTTCCTTTTATAACGGTGTTGCGTCAGAGGGGTACAGGTATTGGTTATGCGGGGCAAAGGGAGTGCAATGGATATGTAACACACATGGTATTATTTACAAAATAAATTTGTTATGACATAATTTAAAGCTCAGCTGAGCCCTACACGGGACCCTTATAAAAATCCCGCCCTGTTGAAAGCTGCATGCATTCGTGTCTGCTGACCTCAACCTCACAAATGTGACATTCACCTTGTTAGTAAGGATTTTGTGTTGCAAGTGCTCTTAGTGGGGAGATTGTGGTTTATGTTTGCAATATTATATTATGACTGTTGTAACTTTATTGAATGAAATATATGATTTATTCTTCCAAATAAAAATCCAAAAAACTGTGTCCATTTGGGACATATTAGGCAAGATACAGTTGTTATGTTCATATTTAACTCGCCTTATGTATTAACAATTTTTTAGGTAATAAATTTAAGAAATGTGCGTTATTCTTTATTAACAACGTTTCATTAAAAACGTACGTCCAGCGGTATTGTAATAGAAATGTATTTATTAAGTTATATTAATGGACGTTCATAACACATATTTCTAAATAAAGTGTATTGTTCGTTGGAAATCATAGTTTCATTATGTAAATGCAACAATTATGTAAGTTTTCGCGTATTATCACTTGCGTGGTCACGAGTTAATTTAATTTATGACATATCATTATCCAAATAACGATTGTTGTTTGTGATGTATGACGTAATAGTTGAAGTTGTTGATTGCATCTGGTTCACAGAATTTCCGATATAACCAAATTTAATATTGTTGTTTTTACAATTTAGTTCTCAAAAGAGAGTGCGGCTTTATGTACAACAATTATCGCTGATAAGTAATATTATGTTGACTTAATTTTATACAATAGCCAGAGCCTCCTTCCCGTTTGGCCCCTGTTCAATTTAAAACAAATATTTTTTTTATTATAAGAGAAGGAACCACACAAAAAAAGAACAATAAAAAAAATAACTAACCTTAAAATATAATAACTAAAATATATTATTAAAAGGAGTCCCTTTAGGCATAGTTCCGAAAATACGGGCAGCGTTCCCAAAAAAAAAAAAAAAAATTGAATTAATTTATGTTTTTTTTAAATCATATTTTCAGTCATTAACAGGACAATGATACAGACTAAACAAACAAAATAAATAGGCCTTCACAAAATCCTATATGTATCTATATAAGAATCAGGATGCCCCTTTATTAAAGATCCGATGTATTGGTTCGGATATACTTCGATGGGCAGGTTCACATAGTGGTGGCGTTGCAAAATGTGCGCCCGCTGTGCTGTAGATCTACGGACTTTGAAATGATATGACTATGTATAGTATAGTCCACTGTAAACGAAAAATTCTCAAGTAAAACTGCCTGAATCAATACTTAAAAGTTTTGAAGTGTTTCCCGACGTGATACCGAAATCTAAACCCAGACAATTTCATTTTGTTAATTTGAATCCCTTGTCACCAGAATATGATACGGCAAAGTTATTATTATAATCAAAAGGAGTTGTATTGTTTGATTAACAGACATTTTGAAGGACGGATTTGGTGTGAAGCCATATTGAATTGTTTTAATATTGCATTATAAAATAATGCAAACAACTATAAAATTCATTTGTTTATTTATAACATAAAAGAGCACCAAACTTACTTGCGACCAGAAAATTCTGTAGGTATATGTAAAGGTAAATTTATGAAGTATATATATATATATATATATATATGTATATTGGTTATATGAAATCGTTTTTTCACCAAGGATCATGTAACTCATAATTTGCCAATTCATTTAGATTTTTATCGCGTAAATAAAGGTTTTATTTTTTGATTAGTAATATACCATACATTATTATATTTGAAATCACATATTTACCACATTCTTTATACCGTATTGCTGAGCTTACTCTTTAATTAAACTTATGAGAAAATTAGAGTTAAATTATTCATCAGCGCAACGCGACAATATAAATAATTTTCCAGTTTTGCAACAAAATTTGTAAGTAGGTTAAGAGGTTTTTTTTGAGACAAATACTTACTTTAGCATCTCGTGGCTAATTTTCATTTAATTAGGTACTTACGCTGTTTCCAGTTTTAGTTTTAAACCTTTGGAGTTTCTTAATGAACTAAAAATAAATATATTTAATGATATTAAATTAATAAATATAATACGTTTCGACAATGTATCAATATGCGTACGCTGCGAAAACAAAAAAGTCCTTGATATATGACATATGTGTTTAATAATAGAATAATCCACCCGTTCGATTAAGGGTGACAAACCAAGCCAAGCTTTTTCAAGAGCTTAATTGAGGATAATTTATTATCCTTGAAAACTTAGTTTATTTAATCAATATTCATAAATGGAAACCAATTATCGTAAAGTAAATTTGTTTCTAGGTAAAACAAGAAACAGCTGCTATTACTAATTTACTATGTGATGTGCGAAATGTGAATCAGAAATTAAACTGTTTTTAATAATAATACATAGATACATATCCCGCTTATAGTGTAACTAAACAAATAAATTAAAATTTAACGATTTTTAGTAAGTATAAAGAGGATTTCTATGACGATAAAGAATAAACTTTAAAATAACTGCACCGATTACACCACTACAATGCTAAATTATCCCTAAGCAAGTTGGTGATTCTGTGACCGTCGACTTTTTGGGTCTAAGGCAGGTCGATTTCCTCACCATGTTTTTCTTTACAATGCGAAAAGAAAAAAATGTCTTTAGTGCACTCCGGGGTTCGAATCTTCTAACTCAAGGATGAGATTCGTACGTTCAAGCCACTACGTTTACTAAGTAACGTAGATAGACCGCGCGAAGTTGGGATATGTCACTGAATATTAAACTATGAGATGTACTCAGATTAATTGTTGAATAATTCTTGTTACAGGACTGCACGCAGTGAAAATAGTGAAAGTAGTTGTGCCGGAAATAATTCAGTATGGTGTTGAGGACGCGGTGTTACTTGACTGTGACTTCACATATGGTAACGACACAGCCGGTCTCATGGTGAAGTGGTTCTTCAAGAACAAAGCGAGGCCCGTATACCAATGGATTGCCTCGCAAAAGCCTCAAGATATGGGCATATTACGAGGCCGTGTGGACCTAACATATAAAGCCTCGAATGACCCATTAAAAATGCACAGAGCACTACGAATAGTGAAGCCAAACACAGATATTTCGGGAGATTATACCTGCGTAGTCTCCACTTTTATGGAGGAAGATTCGAAAACAAAACAAATGATTGTCTTTGGTGAGTTTTTATTGATCATAACAGTTTATTGTTAGTCTAGTGATTTATGTAAGACTATTTGACCTTTGACGTTATTACGCTAGGCTGTAAATCGTAAGGTTAATAGAATAATCTAGAAAAATACTTTTAGGTAATAGGTTGCCTGTGTCATAAACTAGGCCGTCCAGGAATTAGTTATCTAACAGAAAATATCGCTAATTTATGCTTTAAGATATTGTTTATAGACTTTCTATGGAAACGTTGGACAATATATGTTCGCGAACTAGAGGCAATTTTAACCCTTGGCCGATGAAGACATATAGGTTTCTATACAACCGTTCATACTTTACTCCTTTGAGATTAGATTATTGCAAAATTTATCAAATCGACTATCAACTTTCTTTTACCCTTAAAATAGAAAAACTTGTTTTTACGCAGTTTTTTTATACAAATGTTGTCCTGCTAGCATTGCGCAAGACTACATTTACTAAAACTATGTACTAATGCAAAATGATTATTTCGACGAGACTCGAACTGAGGAGTCTTGTGAAATCAAATAATCGTAACTAAGTTATAAAACTGCAGAATTCTAGTCTTCTGTACTGGTTAGGATTGATGTGTTGGATAGTCAATTTATTTAGCCACGCTTTTATATGCTATAAAATCACACTATAACCAAAGAATCTCTGGTGACTCCGCACAGATGTATAACAATACATAATATACACGTAGATCCTTCTCAGTTTGAAAACATCCTTCTCAACAGGATTAAGATTCTGATTAAATCCAGTCTTGATATTATCTTGATTTAAAGATTTCAAAGTTTCAAGTAATTCTCTAATCAAGCTGACTAAAGCTAATCCTTATTCTGCTAAGCTTTCGTTCAACGAGATTTCGTTGATGACATTAAATTATATAAAATTAAACACAAATTAACAAAATAACCTGGTAAATTTAAATATCATTGAAAGTAAAATAATATTGTTAATTGTATATTTGTGTGTTAAATAAATACGTATATAATAAACATAAAAAAATTAATATAAAAATATAAATAAAAACTGTCATACTATCGCTAATAATAGATTTCCTTCGTATGATTCTTTCTTTCTTAAAAATAGAAAGTTGAGGAGTAGACTTATAAGTATGGAACATATCAAAGTGCTATCAGCTCTGAAACTCAGCTAGATATAAACAGAATAATATATCTCAATCCCTATTCGTCAACTTGTTTGATACAAGACTCCTACACCTAAATTTTTGACATACACGTGATATTTTTATAGTAAATCGTATGAATGTTTCCACGAAATTTGTTCCGAGTCACATATTAATTATTCTAATGAATTCTATAAAAACAGAGATTACTATTAATTATACGAAAAATAAACAATATAGACTCCGAAAAATACATTTTAGGATCTAAAGTCTGTGTACACGGTTTATTATCTATGGTCTTTTAACATACGTCCCTCCAGTCTCGTAGAAGTCAAAGCTAATGTAATAAAAGAAACACGTTTCAACGCTTAATTTAAAAAATAACGATGTTAATAAAGATAGCCAGAATATGTCAAGTTAAAGTTAAGGAAAGCTTACTAAAGTTTTAAACCATGCAAACTCGTGTGTTGGAAACTTAATTCATTTAACTAATGGAGCGGAGCGCGGATCTCATGTGCAACCACAGTGTAATCCACATTTAGTAAAAATTATGGCAAGCTTAGTTACGAGTTTGCGGTTCAGTTGTTCAGTTGGTGTCCAGACTATTATTTTCCTATTGAAAATTTTGATCAACGGATGCAGACCTATTTTTGTACTCAAGATATGGCCATAACTAGATATGACTATGAAGAAAGAGCCCTCAAATAGATAGATAGAACCCTTATTAGCGAAAATAACTCATAGCATTTATGCTAGGCATGGAATCCCTCAGAACACTTTTACTTATTCAAGGCTTAAAATGTTTCTCAGTCAACAATCGTGATATATTAGTGCTTGAATGAGAGCTTTTTTCTTATAATATTCACTCTATGTGTCTAATATTGATATGTCATACATTTGATTTTTTATCCGTCCTTAAAAAACCGAAGGACCAAATCATCAATTTAATTAATGTTGTAACAAGTATTTTTGAATTTTATTACATTTAAACGTATTATCCATTCTCTACTGTTTGTTGTTCTACCTGTGGTAAGGTTTCGAGGATTAATATGCATGAGCAAGTTAAATGTATGGTAAAAATATTAACCCAAAATAAGACTAGAGTGTTGAGACTTGCATTTCGTACGAATTATACTTTTAAATGGATTTGAACAGCTGACGTAAGTTTAAAATTTTTCGATAGAAGTCCAACAGAAAAAACAAACAACTTTCAAACGGTGAATTATTTTAAGCGCTTTTTTAATTATTTTGCTATTCAAAGTGATATACACAAAGTATAGGAAACTTGTGCTGTATGGCATCTCATTCTGCGAGTTTTTTTGAGATTGGGCAAACGGACGTAGTGATGATGCAATATGTCGCGTGTCAACATGTCTGTGGTGATTTTTTTCTGAATTTCTAAATTCTACAAAAATATTACGTTACAGAATTTCATAGTAATTACAAAAAGGTAATAAAAAACAATAGCATGAAACAAAAATTTAGAGAAATTTAATCTGAAAGAAAATAGAAACTTAATATATATTTAAACTATACGCGAAGAAAAATATAGTTTTTATCACTAACCGCATACTTTTCTAAACGTATTATGATATTGTGAACATGGATACTATAATAATCCAATATATTTAAATAAAAATTAAATTGAAAACGTTTTGGGTCGGAAAATCGGATATACAATTTTTTGACGTAAGTACGATTTTAAATAAATCGTAATCTTAAATAGACAAAATCGTCACACAACAACCATGATACAGATTCAAAATATACGTGAGGGTGTTATGAAAGACCTATAGAGTGGAGAATGATTTGTTATCTGTGAAAGTTAATTAAATTCATAACTTAAACTTTTTTTTAATATAATTGTTTACAAATTAGGTTCGATTTTGTATCGGTAATTTTTTATATACAGTAACTTCCTAATACCTTCCGGAGTTCATGTTGAGTATATTTTAATTTAAAAAATCTTATCTTTTATTTTACTGTTAACATAACATTAATTAACCATTTAAAAATTAATTACCATCAAGCGTAGTAATAGTCAATAAAAGTTAAGTAAAATATATTTTAAAACTTTGGAACTACCCAAAAACCTTCCACCATTTTAATAATTTTTTCGATTCTCACACCTCGTCTCTGGTTTGAAAGTACGCCATCTTTGTTTACCTTTTAAATCAATTCAGAATAAATTGACTGTAGAGATGCTGTTGGCTGATAAAAACGGAACGCGCCATTGTTTCATCTTTTGTTTCACATTCTCTTTCCCCGGATATGGTAATCCTAGTTATACCTAGAAATAACATTAAACTTTGAGGTGCAAAACATATTGTTTCATTAAAATTAAATCAATAAAAGTTGACTAAAATAATATGTTCCATAGTTTTGCAGAGGTCGAATTTCATATTTCGTCCATACCTCGTAAAACGTCCCTTTTCATTGCGTATACCTACCTACCGTACTTTGGGATAAGCTATAAGCTTAAGGTAAAATTTTAGTATGTTTATTAATAGAAAAAATACCCAGCCTAGAACCCTTAAACGTTTAAGCGTCAGTATCTCTGTGTTAAATAAATTGAATACATGTGTTTAAAATATTAATTTATAATTAAATAGCTAATCATCTGTGCCTGTTCAAATTCGTAAAACATTTCGCCCGACCTCGCCGCGATGTATTTTTTACAAACAATTGTTTATTGCGTACATAGAAAGAAAACTCTATTAGTAACTGTCGACAAGAGATTCGCTAACACCAACACCAATACGTCTCTCTAATATTTAATGATAGATATAAAACTCCTATGATATGGTGTGACAATGGTTATTTTAAATCATTAACTTTTTTTGCTTTATAAAATACCTGTAAAAGTTTATGTTACTCACTCCGCTGGCTCTACGATCCCAAAATTTGACTTAACTCCGAAAGAGTATGTTTATATCTGCTTAAATGTAATTTCATAAGTAGGCGTTAATTCGACAATAATGGAATATTTTTTTAATAACGATAGTTGCGCAAAGGCACAAACATAGGTTATCATAATCATTTATTTAATATCATATCGGCAACGCGCATGCGAGCCTTCTAGCAATGTGAGTTTTCACTTAGGTAACATCACGGAATCATCATCGTCATCATCGTTTGCCTCCTGTACATAAAAATAATCTAAATAACATCTAAACCAGGCCAAGCCACCCCCTGAAGGGGACAAAGAAACGTGGGAAGGACCACAAAAGCGATGGGCTGATGACTAGTTAGTGATGATTAGTAAGGGTTTCTGGAAAGAATTCGATGGAGGAAGACAACATATAGTATGGAAAGTCCAGGAGGAGTTCAGGTTGTGGCCGCAGAACACAAAGAAATGGAAATAACAATATCTAACGTCGACAAAGAGACAATAACAAAACTATTTGATATGTAATTTTTTTCAACAGTATGGAATTTAAATTTGCGTTATTATTATTATTATTTACATCTAAAACCTTTTAAAGTGAAGTGTTCGTAACTTAGGCCACAACCTTATGTTTTTGTAAAGCTAAGCAAGTTTTATACGAACCAGCATCTGGTATCCGAATCTTTTTATATCTATACTTGTATGGGCTCACGGAAGGAAACGGCGAATGCCATATGCGGTTAATAGTCGGGACAAAATTGTTAAAATGTTTTCACACAATGAAATGGGAATAAAGGATTTATTTATTTTCGTAAATTCGGCCTTTCAGATGAAGATTTTCTCGCTTTCATACACTTACAATATACACTCGAATAGATACAGTGATAATACAATCATATTGAATATTATCTTTGGCTTACGTGCGTTCCTCTTCTTCTTCTGGTGCCACTTTATTGTTAAAGCGCGGCGGATGTGATACCGCGGCCGGTCCACTCCCGTACGTTCCGCAACCACGACTTCTTCCTTGCGTTGCACACATTTAAATGAAATCTTTTAAAATACTTAAAGATTATTACAGTGTTTATCTAACTCGAGCATGACCGTGTTGGCAGTGTGGTTTAAGCTTGCCCACTATCAACCCTGGGGTCGTGCGTTTGAATCACGCCAGTACACCATTTGGTTCTTCTATCTTTGTGTGCAATTAGCATATGGTCATACGGTAAACGCAAATATCATGGTCAAATATCGAAACCAACGACACGTGTCAGCCCCATAAATCTCGTGCGCTTGTCACTTAAATAATTAAAATTATTAAAGAAATATGAAAGAAACAGTGGAAAGCAAAGCGTCACCGTAAGTTGGTATTTTCACTTAACTTCTTAATCTTTTCCATGCGTTTTTTTTTAAGAAGACCTAAGGAATAGTTTATAGGTTATATGCTAAAAAATTTCGCTCACAAAATCGCGCACTGATGTGGTTTATTTAATAACAGTTTTAGCTTGAAAATCTACAGTTAAAAAAACAGACAATAATTAACAAGATTTAAAGTTTTAAATTTTATTCTGTACCAAGAAATAAGGAACTGTGTGCTGATATAACTATATGTAGCATGATAGAATCAACATGAATAAAGAGTATTCTCTAAATTAAACATAAGAATGAACGTAATGAATGAAGATGCATGCTTTAAGCATTCTAATTTAAATTCTGGCAAACGAAAAAACCTGAACGAAAAATTGTTTGTAGTGGACAAAATATTTATTTACGTAACTTATTGTTTTTATTTATATAATAAGTTTGATTTATGTAATGATTGTTTGCATTCGAAATAATAGAAACCCTTGTTTTAGAAAGTAAACAGAAAACTCTATATCTTTAAGTTTTAGACAAATATAAGTTATATATGATAGTATAAATCAAACGTTTTCCATTTTTTGTTAAATTGAGACCTGTCTCTGTACCGAAGATTATGTACATAAATAATAACTAAATATTTGAATACTTTTGGCCAGCTCAATGTATATTCTAAAAACTAGTTTTCGTGAAAAATTTACTCCCATGTTAAATTCAAAAAGTTTTTTTATTCATGAATGAAATTCGCTTGATTTAATAGAAACTTTTAAACGTATGCAAGCAAATATGGAAGCTACTTATAATAAATTGGATTTATTTTAATTAAACAGTTCCCGTATTCTAAACCTAGGACTACAAAACAGTGATTTGTATGAAAGTTTGATCATATTTTGTTTTCACAAACAATAAGACTAGAGACGAGATATAACTCGTTCAAAATCAGGGCACCTCAATAAATCTGCCCTTACCATGCATAATATCGTCTATGTGTAATGTGTGCATTTTTCCACAAAACTTCGTGACAGTTTGAAAATTTACGACGCCATTTTTGTGGCAAGTTATATTATCGAAGTTGAAATGTTCTGAATATAAGCATCTAGATAGAAAATACTTTTATTGTACAGAAATGTGATTTTTAAACCATATATATATGTATAATGTGTATATATATATATATATATACATTACACATTATTACATGTATACTAGCTGACCCGGCAAACGTCGTTTTATCATGTATATTATTCCCGATTCTCAAACTTACTGAATATCCATAAAAAAATAATAAGAATCGCGTTTCGGAGGACTAACATTTATGGTAACTAACATTGTGACACGAGAGTTTTATATGTTAGATAATCATCATCATCATCAATGGCTATACAGCCCCTTGTGGGCCTTAGCCTCCAATTACACTTCGCCATCGCAATCTATCTTGTGCTTCCCGCGTCCAATTGCGAACCCCTATTGTGTCAAGGTCCTTGACAACTCCATCCCACCAACGCAGCCTCGGTCTACCGGGTTTTCTCTTTTTGGGTACCGGGTTGTGAGTTCAGTAAGGACCTTGGGGTTCTGTCGTTCTCCATTCGGTGCACATGACCCAGCCACTTGAGCCTGTTGCACTTTATGAATTAGACGATGTTGGCGTCGTCTCTGATGTTAGTTGTTTTTCACTGTATATATATCTTAATATATATATAAATTACGCGTCACGTTGTTTATCCGCTATGGACTCCTAAACTACTTAACCGATTTCAATCAAATTTGCCCATCGTGTGCAGTTTGATCTAACTTAAAAGATAGGATAGCTTAAATCTTAATTTATTCCCGCAATATTATTTTATTGCAAATTATTTGTTTATTATTAGACAGTCACAATTCTAACAGATGGCGCTGTGTTGAAAGTACCAATGTTTCACATTAAAGCTACAATTTAATGGCATTACCACCAAAAAAGCATGACGGTCCCAACTGGTGTTCTCCTTCCGTTTCCCTTGAATAGTTCACTACTATTAGTCCATTGAAATGTTACAATTTGAGGGCCAAACTTAACATTTGTTAGAGGACGCAATTTTTATTTATGGAACCTGTAGGGGGGTCAATACAAGCAACCTCAAGTTTGTGGGGTTGGCGTGCTTGTCCCCGGCCGCCATCTTGGAAAAGGGGTCCAAAACCACGTTTTTGGCTATATCTTATAAACTATCCATCGTACATAAAACTTAGAAAATTTGTTTAAAATAAACGAGTGATCTTAAAAGTAAGGTAAAACTGCTGTTTTGATCGGCTTGTCATGAGCATTGACGCACCTAGTCAACTTTAGAAATAGGAAATATTTTCACTTTTTTACTTATAACTTTTTGAATTTTGGATTTATGATAAAAAATTATATAGACATAATCGTAGACACAGCGATTTGCTACAAAATGTGTCTTTACAAGTTTTATGTACGATGGATAGTTTAGGAGATATAGCCAAAAACGTGGTTTTTGGACCCCTTTATCCAAGATGGCGGCCGGGGGACAAGCACGCCAACCCCACAAACTTGGAGTTAAGCTTGTATTGACCCCCCCTACATGTTCCATAAATAAAATTGCGTCCTCTAAAAAACGCAATCCCAAATGTAACTTTTCAATGGACTATAATATAATATAACAAAAACCTTAGCCACAGCAACGTTTGGCCGAGTCTGCTAGTATTATATATAATATATATACACACTGAAAAAGCTTTATGTCAGAGCTGTAGCATAAAATATACCGTGTCAATATAAAATATTATATATCATTTTTAGTTGATAAAAAGTTTTCGCTTCTATCTATACCGTTTCTATTATTGGTTTAAATGCTTCAGTAGCGGAATAATTCCCTTGATATTAAAATATCCCTTCCGCTGTAAATACATTGTAGAGAACTCCATTAAAGTGTGTATACTACGGCACTCGGTATAATTGTGAGAGCGGTTCAAAGAACTATCTCGAGAGAGTTCACAAAACGCCAAGTATAGCTTTCCGTCTAATTTGCGCGATCTTTTGCCTATTATAAATCGACGGCTTTTGTGAATTCTTCGCAGTATAGTGTATATTTCCGTATTAAATATATATAAGAGCAAACAATTTTCAGGAAAATGGAATTACTTCTAATTATAAATGTTCCTGATTGTTTAATAAGCTTCACTTGCGATCAATAAATAGGTCGCCAGTTGAACATAATTTTATTTTAAATTGTGTTATGTTCTCTTGTATAGCAATTGTGTGCAATCTATGAGAAAACCCTTGTGTTTTTGAGACATGCATTTCAACTCAGAATAAATTCTATTTCACCTGGCATTCCAGTATTTCAGATATTAATTAAAGACGCCTTGATCAATTGTTACCAAAATTATTTTAGTCATTTTGTTTTTTATATCTTGATGTGGTAACCCTAAACATTTTTACATAATAAAATATAAACTCCAACAGGAACGTAGGAATATAACTTTTAAGCGTCATTTAAAAAATACATTAAATTTAAAGCAAAATTAAGCCAAACAAGTACAATTAAAACCGAAAACAGCAAGAAAAGTTGGAAACAAACGCTAATTCGGCTTAAAAGTTAAAATAAAAATGTGCCAGACAGTTTGGCTTAAGGAAATTGTTTGGGCTATAAAAATAATGTTTAAAAATTCATACATATTAACACCTTTATACACTGTCGTAGTCGTCCTAATTTAATATTATAAATTCGAAAATATGACGTACATTTTTCTGATTAAAAAGTTGTGAATAAGCCCGGGCTACGGAGCCGGTAGGCCATAAAAATCCACTAAACTTTTCTTCTCTCATTCAATAACTATTGGAGTATTATAAAAATTTAATACTTAACTACACTTGTTACCGACTCAAAGAATAAAGCTACAACCCAAGAAAAAGAGACAAAGAGAACTGCATGTCGCTTTCATACTTACACTTCACCCAAATTGTATCAGTTAAGAAGAAATTAAAGATCGCAGATATCAATACTCGTTAAAAGAAACACTAAAAGAAGTAGAGCAGTGTTGGCCTAGTGGCTTCCGCGCGCAAATCTCATCCTTGAGGTCGTAGGTTCGAGCCCCGGCTGTGCACCAATGGAATTTCTTTCTATGTGCGCATTTAACATTCGCTCGAACGGTGAAGGAAAACATCGTGAGGAAACCGACATGTCTTAGACCCAAAAAGTCGACGGCGTGTGTCAGGCACAGAAGGCTGATCACCTACTTTAGATTGAAAAATGATCATGAAACAGATTCAGAAATCTGAGGCCCAGACCTAAAGAGGTTGTAGCGCCACTGATTTATTTTATTTTTTCAAAAGAAGTAGTTCTTTAACTAAATAAAAGATAACATTTATGTAATAGTTTTATATATTAATTTCATTTTATTCATAATAATATTTTTTCTTTTAACTTAGGTACTTTTATGTTTTCAGCGCCGGAGACGAACTTCCGGCTGGTGCAGAATAAGACTGACGATGACACAGTGAACGTCATCTGTGCGGCGGACGGCGCCTTCCCCGCCCCTAACCTCACTCTTGCCACGCCTGAGAGGTAATTGAGACTTTTCTTTATCGCTTTCACGACTCTAATGACAATAAGAAGCGATTTGATTACACACGTAACAACATACTTACAGCAATAAGCGCCCAATATTTCGTTAGGACAAGAACATTGTTGCATAAGGACTGAAAGTGAGCCTTCGTTTTTGCGCTGTTAAAACATTTCGTCATAGTCGTAGAATAGTGACGGATCTGACAAATAGTAAACTTTACAAGGCAGCCATTTCAAAATAATATAATCATGTTAGTTTTTGTCATAACTATTCTAATTAATATTCTGTTATTATGAAAATTGGCATACAAGCAAACAAAAGGGTTTGTTTTAATAACATTAAATTATAATTAGTTTAATTTATTAAAATTAATTAGTTTTCTAGAAAAATCACATGTTTCTATCAAATCCGTCACTTTACAGATTAATTTGAAATTTTAAACACATGGAATTTTTTTAATGTAGCCGTAATATTTAGTCAATGTAGTATCCAAATATGATAAAATTGGATTTTGGATTTTTTTCAATCCGACATTGTTCGACTATCATGACGATTTAACATGCTTATAATATCAATTATCATAATAACTTTCCATTAGTGTGCTGATAATGCAAGGTGAACGGGAATCCATACGTTAAGCTATTACATATGGTCAAGGGTAATCTGATTACAGGTATTGTGAAGCGATTAGCCAGTGATTACAACCCTAAGAGGCTTGCACTAAACGATTACTATATTATAAAACGTTTTTATGAGAAAAAATCAATTCTTTATGTTCGTTATCCTACAGCTAACATAAATTATATATGACAAAATGTATTATACTAAAGATATATCCGCAGATGGAATACATCTAATATATAAAATTCTCGTGTCACAATGTTCGTTCCCATGCTCCTCCGAAACGGCTCGACGTATGATTTTTTTTATGCAGATTCAGTAAGTCTTAGAATCGGACAATATCTATTTTTCATCCCCCTAAATGTTATGGGTGGTCCTACCCCTACATTTTTATTTTTCAGAGAAATCTTTTTGTTTTTATTTTTTTATGATACAGCATACAAAAATATATACAACCCTTAACTGTCACCCCTCTACGATCAACCCCTTTTTTATTTGTTAGTTAAGAACTTATACGTATTACTTGAACTCTGAGGTTTACATAGAGAACAATCACAGAAAAATCTAAATAAATAAATAAAAGCATAGCATGTTCCATGTTGGTATGTACTAAAAAGGTAGGCTAGGCATTAAGGAGAAATATATAAAAAGGATCAAACATTTACTAAGTAATAACTAATTCAGCTGTGTTGTATGATGATGTGAATGTGAATTGTGCTTATGATACAGGTTATTTAGTTCTATGGACATTTTAAAAACTATACAACTTGTCTAGAATTCAATCAAATATATCTCATCGTTAAGTCAGCGTTCGTAAGAAACGTTTTCGTTGGACAGTTTTCCTCTGACTTTGGAAATCCGACTACCACAAAAAGACTTCATTTGTAGAATAATTTTCCGGAGCCCCCTACAACCTCAAAAACTTAACATCTTTATTAGTATAGATTAAGATCAACATTTTTATTGGGACCTAGGTAAATATATAACTTATAGATTAAACGTATGGTGAAAATAACCCCGTTCTTACATGAAATCGTGACATGCTTAGAAAACTGGTCTAAGGTAAAGCTAAGATAGGAGATTACGGTAATAGTCGGATTGTCTCACCCCTTTAGCAAAAAGATATTGCATTAATGGTAGCCGCAGTGCGCAATGCGGTACGGTCAAACACACAATATTTTATATATTCATAGCAATTTGTGTAAGGTAGAATCTATTTCTGTGTCTTTGGGATTACTTTTGACATACAAAAGATTTTTTTTTCCGTGAAAACCATGCACTTTTCGTTCAAGTGTTATTCTAGAGTGAAATTTGAACACTTCTGGGTAGTGCCAAGTGGGATATAATTATGTACTGGATATTCAAGGTTGTGTTAAAAAACAAAGAGAAATATTTATAAAGCTTTATATAATTATATTTCAATGTATAATATCTAATTACTATAATATCTAGGTAGTAACATGTGATGTAAACAAAAACATTTTTGGGTCTAAGGCAAGCAGGTTTCCTCACGATGTTTTCCTTCACCGTTCGCCTTAATTTTAAATGCGCATATAGAAAGGTGCACAGCCGGGGATCGAACCAACGCCCTCAGGGGTGAGAGTCGCACGCTGAAGTCACTTAGATATTACTCGTACACCTAATCTAATCAGATTAATAAGTCTTTTTAAATCATTTAATCTGTCTAATGTTTTTATGGAACCAACTAGAGTGACAGCTTCTTCTGCCACTTGTATAGATAATATTTTTTGTAATTGTGAATACTTACATAAAGAAATTGTTAATAAATTGCCTTCTGATCACAGTGGACAAACAATAACGTTTTGTGCCTACATACCTGTACAAAAAATTCAAATAAGGTATAGGCCAATTACATGTAAAAATTTAGAGAAATTAAATAATACCTTGACCAGTAAATTGTGTGTTCAAAACTTTAATAATATTTGGGACCCTAATGAGTTCTATGCGGAGTTTTTTACCTTGTTAAAATCGCAATTTAATGACATTGTTCCACAAAAGACAAAAAGTATTTACACCAAGTTCTTATTTAGTGATTGGGCGACTCCAGGTATTCGTAAGAGCAGGGATAAACTTTTTTGAACTATATGGCCTAAGGCAACATGTAAAAAATACAAACTTTCATCAGCATGTTGCGAAATATTCAAAAACTTTTAAAAGTGTGTGCAAAATTGCTAAATCACTGTATATTAGTAATAAAATAAAATCAGCGGATGACAAAATAAAAACTACCTGGCAAATAATAAATAATGAAACTGGTAGAAAAAAACAGCGTAATACTGAATTTAACTTAGAGACTGCACATGGCCCAATAAACTCAAATGCAGAAATAGCTCAGGAATTTGAAAACTTTTTTATCAATATTCCCTTTAAAACTACCGAAGCTTTAAGTTCATCATCCGCACTTTCTTTTGCGTTACTTACGAAGAATGTAAGGGCATGCCCTACGGAGTTTCGATTTCAATATACAAACCCCCAGGCTGTTATGAAAGCTTTTAAAGATCTTAAAATTAAATCTACAGAAGATCTTTGGGGATTGTCTGTAAAAGTCTGTAGTTCTATCATCGAAACTATTGCGCCTTATTTAGCTTTCATATTTAACACCAGCATAGACCAAGGAGTCTTTCCGGATCTCATGAAACACAGTAAAGTAGTTCCGTTGTTCAAATCCGGTGATAGTAAAGAACCCAATAATTATAGACCTGTGTCAATTCTGCCAGCTCTCAGTAAGGTTTTTGAAAAGTTAATGCTCAATCAAATGTTATGTCACTTTAATAAAAACTCCATCTTTCATGAACAACAGTACGGTTTCACCAAAGGGCGTTGTACAACTGACGCCGGTGTCTCCCTAATCAAGAACATTTTTAACGCTTGGGAGGAAGCACAAGATGCCATTGGAATCTTTTGCGACCTTTCGAAGGCGTTCGATTGCGTAAACCATGAGACTCTTCTGCTGAAACTTAATCACTACGGGATTAAGAACAAAGCTCTGGACTTACTAAGATCTTACTTGAAAAACAGACAGGTTAAAGTTCAGGTTAACGGCATAAACTCGTTAGGGTCTGAAATTACAATGGGCGTTCCTCAGGGTTCAATATTGGGTCCATTCCTCTTTTTAGTATACATAAATGATTTACCCCAATTAGTTCAGAATAAACCGAAGATGGTGTTATTTGCAGATGACACATCATTGATTTTTAAAGTAGATCGACGGTCACAAAATCGTGACGACGTGAATAACTCTATTCTTCGGGTCCAAAATTGGTTTACGGTAAACAATTTGGCACTGAATGATAAAAAAACTAAATGTATTAGATTTACGTTGCCAAATGTTAAAAGTAAGGAATGTGACATAATGTTGAATGAAGGAAAACTGGAATTTATTAATCAAACGGTTTTCCTAGGCATCACGCTAGACGAGAAGTTACAATGGGGACCTCATATCACATCTCTTGCGGGGCGGCTGAGCTCAGCCGTTTATGCGGTTAGAAAGATAAGATATTTAACCAATGTAGAAACTGCGCGTTTGGTCTATTTTAGCTACTTTCACAGCATAATGTCTTACGGCATTTTACTGTGGGGTCGGGCTGCTGACATAGAATCCATTTTTATTTTGCAAAAGAGAGCGGTCAGAGCCATTTATAATCTACGTCGTTGCGAATCTCTCAGGGAACTATTTAAAAGATTAATATTATGACAGTACCTTGCCAATTCATTTATGAAAATATTATGTATGTAAGAAAGAATCTACATCTTTTTAGTAAAATAAATGAAAGACATAATTTTAGTACTAGAAATAAAGATAAAATAGCTCAACCATCTTTCAGATTAGCCAAAGTTCAAAATTCATTTATGGGGTACTGTGTGAAATGTTACAATAAAATACCTTGTGACATTTTAAAACTAAATGAACGAAAATTTAAATGTTTTATTAAAAGTACACTTTGTAAACAAGCATATTACAAATTAGATGATTATATTCAAGATAAGAATGCTTGGAAACATGCTGGTCCTGCTCCATAGGACAATCCTATGATTGGCTCTATAGCCTGGACAAAATCAAATTGGTTGCTGATTTTTTACTAAAAAAAAATATGTTAATTTTTGTTATTATTATTATTATTATTTTTTTTTTAATTTATATAATGCTACAAATGCAATTATTTTTTTTGTATCTCACACACTGTTTTGTTGTGTTTTTTTAATATTTTTATTACTCTTTAATGTTAATATTCTAAGGTTTCGATATTTGTAAATATGTGAGGAACATGTATACTAACTTTTTTAGTATAGTAGTTTATTCTAAGAGTACATTGTCTTCACATATAATTATTTAACAAATGTAACAAAATATTGTAAA